CCAGGAGACCGTCACAAAGGAGTACGAGCGCCTGGGCGTCAACCTGCACAAGAAGTCGCAGCCGACAAAGGTCGAAAAGGACGCCGACGGCAAGCTCACAATCACCTACAAGGACGCTGACGGAAAGGAAACGTCCGAGGGCGGCTTCGACCACCTCATCTGGGCCATTGGCCGCACGCCCGCGACAAAGGATATCGGCCTCGAGGAGATTGGTCTCAAACTCAACGAAAAGGGATACATCCCCGTCGACGAGTACCAAAACACAAACATTGACAACATCTACGCCCTCGGTGACGTCACCGGCCAGGTCGAGCTGACCCCCGTCGCCATCGCTGCCGGTCGTCGTTTGGCCGAGCGCCTGTTCGGCGGCGCCGAGTACGCCAAGGCACACCTCGACTACTTCAACATCCCCTCCGTTGTCTTCTCCCACCCCGAGGTCGGTAGCATCGGCCTTACTGAGCCCCAGGCCATTGAGAAGTATGGCAAGGACAACATTAAGGTCTACAAGACCAGCTTTACCGCCATGTACTACGCCATGATGGAGCCTGAAGAGAAGGGCCCCACCGCCTACAAGCTTGTTGTCGCCGGCCCCGAGGAGAAGGTTGTTGGTCTGCACATTGCTGGCCTTGGCAGCGGAGAGATGCTCCAGGGCTTCGGTGTTGCTGTGAAGATGGGCGCGACCAAGAAGGACTTTGACAGCTGTGTTGCCATTCACCCGACTAGCGCCGAAGAGCTGGTCACGCTGAAATAGAGAGATGCATAGAGAGAGGTTTAGTAAGACTTAGAAGAGGAGGAAAAGATACCAATTCGTAAAATTTTAACTTGAATCGCACGCCTTGTCCTTGAACGCCAATGCTTTTCGTGAGGTGGTTCATCAATTCCCTTTTATCCGAAACGCCGCCAGCTATGGCAAATGCCCATTTTCCTGCCGCCAAGTCCCGAGGCAACCTTGGTTGTCCTGTGTTACCATGATTCATCTGTCGATATTTGGCCTGAAACGAATCCCCGAGAATTCGTGTGCTGTTTGACCACGAATGCAACGCCGAATTCCAGAAAAAAATCAAATGCTCGCTTGTGTTTTGGCGCAACTTGGTTTCCCCTACAGGAATACTATGCTGACGAGGCCAGTCGCGGAAAGACCGAGCACAGTGAAGAGAACGGCATGAGGAGCAATAGCACCAGCAGCGCTGGGCTTGGACTCCTGGGGGGCATCGCTGTTACCTTGTGTCAGTCTGGCATTTCTGACGATGAGTCGGCAGGAAAGCACTTACGTCGGAGTGGCTGACGACGGCGCTGAGGTAGCATCAGGACTGGGGCTACCTGAAGCCTCCGGAGTCGAGGTAGGGGTGGCGCTCGTGGTAGAGGCCGAGGGTAGATCAGCAACCTTGACGCCGATCTCAGCGCACGTAGATGCGTAAGACTTGTAGGCTTCCGTGAGGTTGTTGCCCTGGCAAACGCTGGTCAAGTTGCCAAGCATGGTCGACATGAAATCGGTGCACATGTCATCGATTGAGGAGATCTTGGGTTGCTGGCCAAGAGCTGCAAGAAGGCAGGCAGGAGGGCTTGCGGCGGCAGTGATATTGACCATGCCAGCAAAGGCTGTGATGCAGAGTGTAGGCTTCATTGTTGTCGGTGCAGGTGTGCGTAGCTAGGTGTCGTTTGAGTGTGAGGTGGTTTTCTTAGGAATTCTGGCCGCCAAAGGAAATTGCTGCAAGACCAGGCAAAAGAGAAGTCAGTGTCTATCCGCAAAGAGAGAGTGCATTAGGCGGATTCTTCCATGGGGATTGTTTTACATACCAAGGAAGGATACAATCTTTTTGTTTGTTTAGATTGATCTTAGGAAACCCTAGGGCGAGGCGAAGCCGACTGAGGTCGTGATGAGGCAAGGTGAAGTTTGACGACGCAGTGGTGGCAGCAAAATGTGGTCGTGTAAGTGCCTCACCGGGCAATTCTTCAGGAAAGACGGAAGGAACCCCTGTGAGTGGAGAGGGAAATCGACGGGAATGGCTCCGAGGCAGGTGGTATTTCTGGGGAAGGAAGGGACCGGTGGGTGGGGCCGGCGCGAACTTCTTTCCTTCTGGAACAACTTCAAAACACCATCCTGAGATCGTCTCTTTCCCGTCCACAACACCAAGCTGCCAGCCCTCTTCGGGCGTCACGATCGACTCATTCTTCTACTTTGGATGGAGGCATGGACGTCTTGTCTGCCAACAGCAGGAATGATTAGCCCGATTTCGATATAGAAGGGAAGGTAGCACAGGTCTACGTCTTGTTACGCCGGCAACTCAAAACCACCCGCCGACGGGCCTTGGCGACCACTATGTTGGCACAGACGATGTCTTCTGGACCGTTCTGGCCAATGTTACCCGTTGCTTCGTCTTTATGATCAAGAATACTCGAAAGACAACAAGGACCAACGACCGAAAGACCCTTCTTTTCCAGGGTCTCTCAGCCGCAGACAAGTAGCCAACCGGCAGAGGAGGCCCTACTCCCTCTTGATGATCAATGTCAGTCTTATTTTCATCTTCTCAAACCTTCCTACTCTTGCCGCCAACCTAAATAGGTGTGCCGATTGTCTGTAGATGATTACTTATATGACTTGGTAGCACAGAAATATCGCCGGCAAGGCGGAATTAGGTTCGAGTCGAGGGACTCGTCATCTCATCAGACAATCACATCTGGTGGCCGTGTTTGTCCCATCCACTCGGCAATCATGACTTTGACTTTTGACGCAGACTTCAACACATGGATACGTATCTCTCAGCCTCCAAGTCCGATAGCTTCTCGTCAGCCGACGTCTCTACAGGCAACTGATGGCCCGGCACCTTGGCTCGCCGCCACTGTCGACAACTGGATGCAAACTCTCAACGCCCATCTTTGGAAACAAGCGGCACCCTGTCAGTGAAAGGATAAACGGCCTTTCCGCCTGAACGGCGGCTTTGTGACAAAAAAGGCTCGTATGATGGCTTCCTGAACGCCTGGATCCCTTGGTTTAGTCCTGCCAAAACGAGATCTCAGCAACGTCGTCGTGAGCTGTGACGTTTCTTGTCTCGAAATATGAGATGAGTTTCGCGTCGTCCACAAATAAACAGCGAGTCAGTTATGCCGCCTCGAAGAAGCTGAGCCTCTCAGGCCACTCTTCGTTCTCGTCTACTGTCCATGCACCAACAAGAACACAACACAGACATCAAAGTCATGGTCGTTACACAGGCTACCCTTTCCTGCCCTCCCGGCCTGTGGGAGGGTATTCAAACCGCTTCTATTGTTCCATTACGACGATGCCGGCGCAACGGCGCTTACTCGGCTCCCGCCCACTCACACTCAACATCGGGACTGCCCCGAGCTGTCGGGATTCACCGCGGCGTAGATACTGAAACCCATCACACAGAATGCCTCTGGCACACAACGCGCCGCGATTCTAACGGAGACCGCACTTTTCCCACATGCCGCTGTCCACTCCACCGGAAGATTCATCTCATCTCGATTTTTCGACGTTCTCCCGTTGTTCTGCCGTCGACACCTGAAGCTTGTGTTCGTCGCGGAAGGAGACCGGAATGTCTGGCATTATCATGGCCAGCTAGTCACCGATCGGCTTCAAGTTGCCCAAAGAGCAGATCAAACAGCGGCTCGGGGAGCGCAAGTGCCTCAACCAAGCGGACCCAGAATGCATTGAGGCAGCGTTTCCTCCGTAAACAAACCGACCTTCTCACGATGAATCGTTTGCCTGACTAGTCTGTTCTGGTCATAACTAGTAAATGGGTCATTCGGAGGATAGAAACCCGCACAGACAAGTTTGTCATAGCCAGCTCGTGGCTCTTTTGTTGTTTTAGACGACCAACATGGAGCAACACGGGGCTTGACCAATGGCCTCGCCGCTAGAATTTCCCAACGCGGCCTAGGAAGAGGCTCCCAAGAGGTCGGTGTTCTGTCGTCTCATGGCCACAGCGGCTACGCCTGGCCAAGCTTCCCTGGGCAAGTCTCTCGAATATACGACTTTTCGAATGCCACACGGATAATTAAGTTGGCTGCTATTGGATCACACGAGCATGGCTATTGCACTGCTCTAGCATCAGGCTATTTGAGGTCCTTAGTAGAGTTTGAGGCTATAGCTGACTGGCAGGTTCGGACATGGACAGCTATCCGCACCTTTTCCGATGTACGGACGAGTCATTGGTGGTACAATTCTCGGCAGGCATACATAGGTGTTCTCGAATTTCTTCTGGATTGCCTTGACGGGCAGAGATCACGGCTCGCCAGCCCTTTGAAGGACATATGTATGCATGACCTAATCCACGCAGCATGGCTCCGCGACCCGATTCGCCTTCCCCGGATTCCCCTGTGGGTAGTCGCAAGGGCGACCCATCGACGGGTTCAAGCCGTTGGGCTTCGCGTCTCGCCCTACCAATCACGCCACTGGATCTCACAGATCCGTGGGCCATCTTGCAGCAGAGCCTGATGTTCTGAACGGCCTTCCTTGCGGCGATCAACCAGCCCTTGAACTTTGAAACTTGGCTGTTGGAAGTTTAACCTCCAAACAAGGGGCTCGCAAGTAGATTTCTTCACCAGTCCATCCGCGGAAAGTCTATGCTCGTCCCAGACAGTTGGCATCGAACGAGGTTCACAGTGAAGCGTGCCTCTGTTCGGGTGGCCATCCGCAGCCATTACCGCACACGCATGACCCCGGGTGCCCGTTCTGGATGCCCAGTCCGTCTCTTTCTTCAGACTATCTTGACAAAGTCGTCTGGGGACATCGCTGAAGAGATCAGACAGCAGTGGAAGGACCGGGATTGGGTTCGCATTCGTAGTGTGTGTCCAATGCATCAGAGTTCGATGGGCTATGTCAAGCACATACATACGTAGGGGACCACCTATCAGTCATGGTCCATCCTGTCACCCTTCACTCCGGTCCTCTATGTCGGACTTTGAATATCTATTCAGCCCCCCGCTGTCTTGAGATCCATCGAAAGGCACTCACGACCTGAATGTAACCATCGGCAAAAATGGCGGACACAAAGGTCGCTCAAACGGCGAGCGTGACCATCATGCTGATGACTTTTATCACGCTGACAGTCGTGATGAGGACCTTTGTACGAAGTGTCCTACTACGGAGCTTGGGCTGGGATGACAGTGAGTATCAACGACTGATGAACTATCACGACTATCATGCTGACCATTTCTAGCACTCGTGCTCATCAGCTGGGTATGAAGCAACGATAGACATTTGGAGGATGTTGCTTGCTAAACATGAACAGGTTCTTGCCATGGCACTATGCAGTGCAATTCTAGCCAGTAAGTTGCCACCATTTCTGAGGCTGGAGAGGGACTTCAAACTAATCTCGAATAGTGACTGGCGTGGGCTTGGGCTCCCACTTTCAAGACGTTTCGAAGTCAGACTTTGCCGAATTCTTAAAGGTAGAAAACACCAAAAGAGACTTTCCTCGAACCGCACTGACAAACCACCTGCAGTTCCAAGTCGTCACACAACTCACATACATCTGGGCATTTGTGACTGTAAAAATGTCTTTCGCAGTTCTTTACCTTCGGCTGCTCCCCGATCAGGTCTACCAGCGTATTAACAAGTTTCTCATCGTTTTGCTGCTCGCGGAGGGAATCGAAGAGACTGCCGTCGTCATCTTCAGATGCACTCCCATCGAAAGAGCTTGGACACCGTCCGTACCAGGAACATGTCTAGATTTGACCATCTTCTACTACTCTGCTGTAAGTTTGACTTGAAAGAGAGGTAATATGAAGTGATGCGCGCCAGTCAGCTAACCCGAGCCAGTTCGTCATCAAACTATTGACAGACTTGGTATTGTTCATTCAACCAATCCCGACTGTCTGGAAATTGCAACTTCCGATGGCAAAGCGAGTGGGGGTCATCATTATGTTGTCTCTGGGCTTATTGTGAGTTCTTGGCATCGCCTCCACCTGCTGGACAAGCAACTAATAGCCATAGGGTTTGTGTCATTTCCGTCATCAGAGTGAGCTACATCAATGCTTTTGACCGCGACGTTACTTGTAGGTCATTTTCATTTCCCGTTATCGTTCACTAGCTAATTCTCGTAGTCTTGGTCGCCGACCCCTTACTCTGGTCAGAAGTCGAAGTCTGTGCCTTGATCATTTGCTCCGGCGTTCCATCTTTACGACCGTTGATAGCCCGTTTCCCTGTCCTCAACAAGGCTCTTGGCCTGTCGACGGGAAAATACTCCAAAGTATACTATCCCAATCAGCGAACGACGATAGGCGGATCGAAGCCATACTTGGGCCAGAATGCGTATGCACGAGCAACCCAGGGGAAGGCCGGCGGAAAACTCTCCGTCAGCTCGAGTTCGTACGGGACTTCAACACGTGCGACTACTGAGAGTATGGAGAATATCCTACCTCTGGACCTCGACAAACCATCATTAGCACACAGCGTAGAGATGGGCATCATCAAGGTGAAGAACGACATTCCTTCATCGCAACTACAGATGACACCGTCACAATACGTGATGGAAGATCCATACTTTCCCGCCGGGCGGCCAATGGCCAGGCGGAAAAGTCGAGGGAACATTGGGAACATCCGCGACGGCACAGGCTGGATTTCCGATGATTGATCGCACCCGAGGGTGACGACGCCTGAGCAGGCTTCTTGATGGTTTTTTACCTAGTACATACGCAAGCCACCGGAAGAGCTTCGGCGGCTACATTAATGTATATAAACACAAGCACTTGGCATAGAGGCACGCCAACTTTGGCTGTCTACGGCCCCCTTTTTTGAGGTCGCTGCGCGATACATTGCCTACAGTAGAATAGGCCAATTCACTTCTTCACCAGTTCAAGATTTTCAATTCCTAGTGTTTCTTAGTCCAGCGAATTCTATCCGTTTCTGTGTATTCTTGCCGCTGCCTGGTGATCTGGAAACTGCACAGGGCACTGGCGGCGGATCGCAAAGCGGTTCGGATGTTCAATGGGCTGTCAAGAGCTTGGTGTGAGCAGTTTGTCTCTTCTTGACACAGTCTATGCGTGAGAGACCCGACATTTTCCCAGGCGGGCCGGGGGGAGTGGTGTTTGTCAATAAGGCAGGGAATACGTAAAGGCCGGATATGCCGTGAGGCCCGACGTGGGAAAAAGCTCCGGCTATTGACCATTACAGAGTAGATCCCGGACCCGATGAACGTCGGCCTTTGAACTCGCGTCTTTGGGTGTTACAGATGGATATGGGACTTCCCTTTCCCTCCAGTGTATGTGTCTCTGTTTGATAAGAAAAACAAGTGCACAGTTCTTGGCCAAAGACAGATAAACATGGGATGAAGAATGTCAAACCGATCGTAGATTGCAAATTACTGTCGTGTTTGATCATGTCTGACAGAAGTAAATACGCGATTGGGTTGAGATGCTACTGCAAACCTTCCCATACTTTGTCTGCTTGGACTACGAAAGACAGGGTCGTAGGAACAGGGAGGTGATGATATGCAGACGCAAAGTCAGGCGCCGATCGCCAAGGACCCCAAGGGTTGCGTCTCTTAACATTGTCGATATCGAATATGGGGGATTTGACATCCGACAATCGGATTCTTGAATTGGTCTGGAAACGTGAGAAGCGTCAGACTTGTGGTGAGTCTAGAACACGGCCAAGAGTTGGATTGGCTGTCCACCCCTGGCCCTCGATTAGATGCTCTGTACCTTTTTTCCAATCAATGGCTTTGCTATGCCATTAGGCTTTCTGGCATCTCCGTCTTGGCTGAAGTCGCGATCTGAAGCGCCCTCACCCGCCACCCGCGCGCATATCGTCGAAGGCAAAAAAAAGGTTGGTAGAGATAGAAATGCCTGGCCAACAGCCTTTTACATGTGTTGTTCTATCCTCAAAAGTTGCCGAGTACATTGCCGAATATTCACAAATCATCATTTTTGCACTTCACTCGATCTTTCCATGGTGAGATTACACAGCTGCGACAGGCTACCGAACACACGAGGAGAAACAGTTCCAACATGCGGGCGTCTCGATCGAAGTGAAGAAGGATCCCTTGGGGTTGAAGCGGGAAGATTGCGTATCAAATTTGCGATGCTATCAAAGCAAGCTCTGAATGATGCGTTGGCACTGCTAGCTTGCTTCAAATACTTGATCGGCAAGTGGTTTAGTTTTGGCCGTTGGTTCCAATGGCAGTCGACGATCTCGAGAAGGCGCCGTGTTGTTTTGCCGATTAGAGTTGGGAGGCAAACAAACTCCAAAAAAACAGGCCGGCATAAATCCTCTGTTGTCGATTGTCGGCATGGTATCTATCACTAGGCAATCGAAGGCAAAGTCTGGCCGAGGTGCGTTACCGTGAGGAAAAGTAGAGACCTTCGGTGAAGCGACCTCGGCCAGAGTTCTTCACCGAGGAACTCCCCCATGAGAAGCCGCGACCAATCACAACCGCCCACCGAGAAAACCCCTGATTTATGTCAAGCCTCAGGCCAAAAGCATGCCCTAGCCTGGACCGTGCACTTTCCCCAACTTTTGCCAGTGGGGTTAGCGAGCCCGCACAAAGTCCAAATTTGCCAGGTGCTGTTTCCCGAATCTCCTCAACCTCCCGAAAAAAGTTCATTCCCGACAACCTCGACAATCAACCACCCAACGCCGGCCAGCCACCAGTCGATTGTCCCCTGAGGAACCATCAGGTTAGTTACCGAAACGAAATAGCAGCTGCGAAAATTCAAGAGACCCCGTACCTCGACGACGATATCCCACGATCTTCCCAATATTCTTTTCGCTGGTTTCGACCATCCGTCAGCGTAAGAAGAAAGGCATTTCGCGATATCATCCTTGGTGGGCATTGAAGAAAGACTTCGCACCCCTCCTCCAATCCCTTGCACCAATCCCCCTCTTCAGGATCTTTCATGATTCCGAAGTTTTCTTTTGTCACTCGTCCACTGTTTGATCAGAACCCATGGGCTAACTTCTTCTCCATGAACAGCATAAGCAATCATGGGTATCTCGAGAGATTCCCGCCACAAGCGCTCCGCTTCCGGTGCCAAGCGCGCCTACTACCGTGCGTAATACAATCGAAAGCCCGTATGCTCTAATCAAGCATGCGTTCTGACCTTTCTGCTCAACAGGGAAGAAGCGCGCTTTCGAGGCCGGTCGCCAGGGTGCCAACACCCGTATCGGCCCCAAGCGAGTCCACACCGTCCGCACCCGCGGCGGCAACCACAAGTACCGTGCCCTCCGCCTCGACTCCGGTAACTTCGCCTGGGCCTCCGAGGGCTGCACCCGCAAGACCCGTGTCATCGGCGTCGCCTACCACCCCTCCAACAACGAGCTCGTCCGCACAAACACCCTAACCAAGTCCGCCGTCATCCAGATCGACGCCGCCCCCTTCCGTCAGTGGTACGAGGCCCACTACGGCCAGAACCTCGGCCGTCGCCGCCAGCAGAAGCAGCAGGCCGCCGCCGGCGTCAAGGAGGAGGAGACCAAGAAGTCCAAGTCCGTCGAGAAGAAGCAGGCCGAGCGCTACGCCGCCGAGGGCAAGGTCGAGAACGCTCTCGAGAAGCAGTTCGAGGCCGGTCGCCTGTACGCCGTTGTCTCCTCCCGCCCTGGCCAGTCCGGTCGCTGCGACGGATACATCCTCGAGGGCGAGGAGCTCGCCTTCTACCAGCGCAAGCTCCACAAGTAAACGTATCGCCTTCGTTTACAAGGGGTTCCCTGTTTGCTGCGTGAAAGCCATGTCTTAACGATACAGCGTCGCGCGTTGGGGGCGTATGGATGTGGATGGGGGGAAAAAACTAGATAACTGTGACTCTCTCACGGATCACGTTTATGGGAATGAAAAAACATTTTATCGGGCTCTTAGGTTGTTCTTGGTGTTGAACAGGTTTTGTTTTTCTCGTCTGGCAAGCCATCACGGGGCGTGATTAACTTACAATGAAATGTAGGCTCGGGAAAAGCAACCGAGTCCACGGACGGATATGGGTTATTAGGAAGACTCAAAAAGACTATACCACCAAGTTTTTGCCTGCCGTAATCACTGTTCATCTATTGTCATCAACTCTGCTAATTGCCTTGTGATGCTTTCTGTATTTGATGTTGTAGCTGTCAAGTCTACCTACGGAAGCTAGAGTATGCGCCTTGAACCCCTTCTCCATGCTCACCTGGCCGCTGGTCTCTACTTCGAGTCTTGCATAGAAAACCCGATGGCCACTAGCCAATTCCTCCTGGCCTATCTAGGCCGGCATGCTTCTGCTCACTCTTACCGCGTGTTGCTTCTCGGGATATCAGAAACCTGTGACCGCTTCAAGGGTCTGTCTGGTTGATCGATACCCGTGCTTCTACCAGCTGGCCGCGCCGCCCAGATGTGCATTAGGCCAGCAAACACACACAAACCTCCATACTCAATGGGAAGCTATCATTACTTTGTACATTAAGGTATTCAGAGAATTCTGCTTCTGGGTTACCAGGGTCGTATTCCTCACAGACTGCTTCAAGCAAACTGTCGCTTGAGGTCTGTCCACTTGCGGTTCAGCGTCTCGTGCTGAGAATTGATCTATCGTAGAGTCAGTCAAATAATGCTTCACGAATGTCAATGTGGCATTCTCTTACCTCGGCGTACTGCATCTTGGTCTGCACAAGCTCCTCCTCCAGTTCCGCCATCTCCTTCTCCAACTTCTCATTCTCTTCGTGAACCTTAAGGTTACGCTTCATGAGATCCTCTCGCTCAGCCTTCCACGCGTTCTCGAGCTCTTCCGGCTGCTTTTCGATGACATTTCGCAGCTCACGGACCTGGCCCTTGAGACTCTCATTTTCATCCTTGAGTTCTTCGTTCTCAACCTTGGTGTGGACCAGCTCAGTCGCGAGAGCAGCCTGCTCACTATCGTACGCTTCGACACGCTCCTCGAGCTTACGGACCTTGACGGCAAAGTTGATGTTGGCAGTCCGCAGCCCTTCCAGTTCGGCCTCACGGTCCTTCTCAGCCTTTGTCTTCTCCTCCCATTCAGTCGTGTAGGTCTTGAGAATCTCGGGAGTGATATTGAGATCACAAGCATCTCTGACAAGTTGATCGGCGCGGTAGACCTCCTTATCCATGCTAGCGCTTGAGCTTCCGAAGAAACCGTTCTCCAGAATGCTGCCTGCGCTCGGTGCGGTATCGATGTAGGCGTCGAAAACCTTGTCTTTGAGGAAGACCGTCAGTTGCTGCATGTCCGAGATGGCAAGCAAGTTGGCGGCGTTCTTCTGCATCAAGACGATGCCAAATCGCAGAATAGCCGAGAGGCCTTCAGACAGGATCAGGTCGTAAATGCGGAGTACCAGTTGCAGGGGAAATCGATAGGCGAATAGTGTCAAAAACCACTGTGTGGCGTAAAGATGTGGTGAAATGCTGCGGCGGCGCAGATGGCAGTACAAAGCTGGCTCGTAATCTTCAAGCAAGCGCTCAAAGATGTACAAGTTCTTGTGAAGGCCGGGCATGTCCTGAATAAATAGGTCGCGTAGGTGGTAGTGGTTCATCAACCGGACCAGCAGGCAGAAGGCTTCTTCCTCTGTCATGTTGAACAAGAGGGGCATAATCAAGAAGTTCATGCCTTGAGCGTAGCCAACACCCTCATCAAACAAGGCATACGCCTTGCACACGCCAAAGAGGCCCTCCTGAAGCCCAGCAGCGGCGGCGTACTTGGAAAAGCTGGTTCTCGCACCCATGTCTCGTCGAATCGTCTTCTCCAACTTCTGGAGCATGGCGGTATCTTCCTTTTGCTTCTTTTGTCTCGCCACCGTAGCCGCCTGCTGCGCCTTTAGGACCGTCTCCGCGCTCTTCTCGTGAGGAGAAGGCATGCCATTCGCGGCTGAGTGTTCCGAGTGGACAGATGATGAGGAGGAATTGACAATGTCGTTCTGGATGCTGAGAGTACCGTTGCTGCTCGAGCTGACAGTGCTATGACTGTTCCTGTTGATTTCCTTATCGGTCCCCCTGGCCACCAGCTCTCTGTACATGATCTCGAGCTCTTCATTGTTACTCTGGGCCAATACTTGCCAGACTACTCCACGGATAGCGTTCGGAATACCACTGGCAATGGCTTTGTTCAGTTCCTCGGCGCTGGTCCGCTGAACAACGGCCGGGCCTTCGTAAACGACCGACTGCCAGAGATCCCAGTCTACCTGGGAGTCTGACATGTCAGAGGGTCCAGCCGATACACCAGATACTGTTCCTGGTGCCAGCGCCGGGTTCGGGGTTGTTGGAAGAGGCGATTTGGGAGCTTGATCGGCTCCAAGCTCCTTGTCGGTTCCATTGTGGGCGGGCGGTGTGATTAAACCCAATCCTTTGGGAGGCGGCACAGGTTTATCGTCGTCGGATGGCAACGTGACGCCGGCCTCTTCCCGTAATCGGACCATCTTGAAGCGGTCCTTCAAGCTGTGTCGCGGGATGCCACCCTCTTTCTCTTCGTCTAACCTGCCCAGGGACATCTCGGGGTTACTCGTTAATGTAGCGATGGAGCTGGCTGTGTTTCGGCGAGGAGAAGCCTGTGGAGGCGGCGAGGTCTCCTTCTCCTTGCTTGTGCTGTTTCGAGACAGCCAGGAGAAGGGGCTGGTGAGCTTCCTGGTTGGGGGACCAGGGGGTGGTGGTAGGGCGGCAGAGGAAGCGGCTTGCGGTGGGGGTGCGGCTGGGATTACGGGAGATTTGGCAGGCGATGGCTCGGCTGGCGGCGACCATGGCATGGATGGAAGTGCGCCGGTGATGCTGCTGATGGATATTTTCTTGGGCGGCAGTGGCTTTTCTTCGACCGGGCTAATGGCTTTCGTTTCTTGGGTTTAAAATTAGCATTACTGTCACACGTCAATCAATTCATGCGGCCAAACAAACCTGGTTCTTCATGTGGGGCAGGGTGGTCGTCGTCGAGCTTGACATCGTCCAAATTTGAGGTATTAGAAAGTCGATGGGATACGGGAGAAGCTTTGCGCTTGATATCCACGTCCTCATGGTCGCTCACAAAGTCCTCGTCGACAAAGTGATCGTCTGGTGTTGGTGACAGCGGAGCTGCTGGTGCTTCCACCCTGTCCTCTTCAATGTGCTCCTCCTTTTTCGGGGATTCAGGGTCCGTTTCCTCGGCGGGTGGTGGTTTGGAGAGGGAGGGCGTTCTCTGAGTAAGAGAACGCACCTCAGCTACCTCGGCGACATCGACGACGGCATCTTCGAAGGCATCCTGCTGCTTATTCGGCCATGTCAGCGAGTGGCTCTTGTCCTGTCTGCACTGCAGATGCGGCTTGTTGTCGAGCTTGGAAGGCCCAAGCAGGTATGTATGCATCAAGGGAGGATGAGGGGAGCGTTACATTCTCCTTATCGGAGTCGGAGTCGGAGTCAGTCGAGAGTCTCTTCTCCTTGGTCTCTTTGGTCTCCTTGGTGACTTCAGAAGAAACGGTCGCGACAGGCTCGTCTGGCTGGGACATGGCGAAATGAAGAATCGTAGGTCAACTTGCGCTGACCTATGTGGGTGTGTGCGGTATGGTGATATAGC